ATGTTATAGTATGTTATAAATATCATAAAATATAATATATATTTATAATACTATGTAATAAAAATATATATTAATAGAACAAATATAGAATATAATGTACAATATTCTAAATTATTTTATATAAATATATTATCTAGTAAAATAAATAAAAAATACATTATTGTGTTAGACATGTTTATATTATACATTTATGTTATTATATATTATATAATAGAAAAATACACTATATTATATATTATACTATGTTATATTATATATATGTAATATAAATGCATTAGATCAATTATTTAAAATAAGAAAAATGAATTCATATCATAGGATAAATCAAATTTAAAGTAAAAAATCAAAGTAATGTTTCTGGAAAAATAGCCCCCAAATAAAAATTGATTTTAGATGTTTTTTGTTTTCAATTATAAACTTTGTATGCTTTTATAAATTGATGTGTCCAAAATTGAATGAAATTTGGACCTTAAGCTCTTTTATTTTGTATTTTTGTGCAATTGCTACAAGGTTTGATAGAGCGCTCAAAGCCAAAATATTGATATATATTTCAAAGCTTTAAGTTTAAAATTAGGAGAAAACTTTGTAGAACGGCGAACTAGGGTTTTTGGTTAAAAAAATAATGATTTTTCGTAAAAACATTTCTCCCCAAAAGTCCAAATCGAACCAATATTGGTGCGACAATTTGAAACAAGGTTGAGCATAGCCCAATGATTTATCAAGCAAAAAAGTTCCAAAATGGCGTACAAGCAGTACTTTTCAAAATTCTTTCATTGGGTATCAGGTGACTCGTCCGATTCAAGAAAGCTCCGGTCTCCCTCGAGATATATTAAACTCGGTTCCCGAGTCAAACGACTCTTCTCCAACCATTTATGAAGCAAATACATTAGTAACTGACGCAATCTCAACCGTAAATACTCAACAAAACCATCATACACCGTTATCCATCAAACTTGGAAAACAATCAATTTCAACCGTTTTTATGAATCAAACACGGATGGCGCGAGATTACGAGTCGTTTCGTATGTAAACATGCGATCAAAGTCGACAGCCTGTTACCCAGTTTGAGGTCGCTTATCCTGGCGCAGGATTTCAAAGGTAACAAAGAGGCAGATGGGATAGAGGGGGACGGCCTCACAACTCTCTCATATGTATGCCCGATCTTGTTTAGAGTGAGAGAGAGAGCATTGAGTTTGTAAGATTTCAATTGCTTCAATGGAGAGTTCAGTTTGTAGCCCACAGCTCACACCTGAGGATGAGAGGTTCGTAATCAGAGACCTCACTGCTTCGGCCGAAGCCCATGTCAAAGAGGGTGACATTTTTTATATCATCACTTTCAGGTTCTCTCTCTGATCTCTTTTCTCTGTGCTTGTTTCCTCTCCTTTAACTCTGTACTTCAAACCCTAGCCATGTGATTCATATAGCTGATATCCTCTGCAGGATCTCTATCTCTCTCTCTTCCCTTCTTTTCCTATTCTGTATCCCGTTCTTCGACTCTTAAGCATAACTCCCTCATTTTGGCTGTGAATCTCTTTATACTGTCATGCCACCCGCATGCTCTCTCTCTTCCCATCTCAATCCCTTACTTCAGCGGAGTAACGCTTCAACATTGGAAGGGTTTTTGTCCCTATTTATTGTTTAGGGTTTCAGTTGTTGCAGAGCAATTAGGCCTTGCGGTATCTGATTTATTTTTCTTTATCAGAATGCAGCTGAACTGGCTCTTTTTCACTTGGTCTTTTATAGTTTTGGAGATCCATTGTAGTTCTTGGTGCACATTATTAAACTACATATTAGAATATATATTGGAAATCAAAATTGAATCTCAAAGTCTCAATTTAATCCATAAATTCATGATGATTGCTATGTTCCTTCAAATTTTTTCCTCTATCTTTTAAATGCTTTTAACTAGATTTGGAAAATCTTTTGGTGTAGTATTTTATCCTTGTTCATAAGCTCATCACACACACAGACTAACACTTATGATGGAGAATATTCATAAAAGCTCTTGTAGATATTAATTTGCAAATCATTTTATCTCATTTGGAATTATACTTGGATAATAGACATCTACACTTTACACAGGAAAAAAGTTCCATGCTTTATTTTACTATTACTTGCTCATGTGGAGCTTTGGTGATCTGATCTTGTTATTAACGCACAAGTTACACTGTGAACATAGTGCCTGTGGCTGAGAAACTTGATTTTGTTATTTTACTCATATGGATTTGTTTTAAATCTTAAAAAAATAAAAAAGGAGTTCTGGTTCAAGCTTTAAAACAGAAAGCAATGCCTCAAGGAAGGTTTTTTCTTCCTCCTAGTATTGGGATGTGGCTAATTGTAGCTTCTATCTATTTCGGATTGCTTTTCGGGAAACAAAGTTGAAAATTTTGATATTTGTAGCCATTGTTGCCCATTTTCTGTAAATCCCTCATTGATCTATTGTTAGTGCATTGCTTCTAGATTCTGGCAATTTTTTTCTATTTATTTCTTAAGAGTATTTTGAACTTATTATGGTTTTGAATCCATGACATTGTATAGAGTTTTCTAATAAAAAACTAAGCTATACAGATTCTTTTCTGAATGATACTGAGAAATTTTAACTATACTGATAATGATGAACTAATTGCATTTTTCTGTATTTGTTTGACTTTAATTGTTAGCAGGTGGTGGCAAGAATGGCTTGAATATGTCTATCAAGATATGACAAGTACCACAAACAATGAATCCTCTTCTCATTCTTCCAATTATTATAATCCCAGGAGGCCTTTAGTTATTGATAACTCAGATTTGATATCGAACATGATATGTGAAGGCCCTGATGTGGATATAGAGCTTCATGCTGCTTTAGTAGAGGGCACTGACTATATATTGCTTCCGGAAGATGTATGGAAGCAGTTTCATAATTGGTGTGTTTCAGTTCTGAATAAATTTTGAATGCTTTTATTTTATCTTGCCTTAATGCTCATGGTTACTGGTTTAGGGAAGCTATTTGATGTCTATCTCTTTTGATTCCTATGAGAATTATTATATAGCTAGTGATGCCATCTATATATGGTCCGACACGTCGTTTTGCTTTTCTTTATCAATTTGATGCTACCCATCAAACTTTTGGTTGCCCTAGTGCAACATACATTCCTCTGTTAATGGGTGGGTCATGGGCCTCCTTATAACCTTTGCATTGCATGAAACTCACTATCCCAAAAAATATCATTAAATGGAGTAGTATTGGTTGAGATTGAAAAGGGAAGGTATTCATTTTAACGTAGGAAATTCATTTTTCATGTTACCATGCAAAATGAATTTGATTAAAAAAGTCGGTTTAGTTAAGATGGTATCTGGATAACATCTATCCTTATAGAAACTTTTAAAGGGGAGGGAGAGTGCTCATAAATGTTGGAGAATCACTAAAAATTAATCAATTTTCCCAAAAAGAGAAATTACCAAAAATTACCATTGCTTGGCTGAGCATTTGAAATAAGTGTCAAAAACTTATGTGATTGGTTTTATAGAAAATCCATCTTCCTTCTTGACTACATTGTTGTGTCCAATGTTTGGGCAGCCAAAATGCCTAGGCGGGACCTAGGCAGGTGTCCTTGCTCCTAGGTGCCTGCCAAGGGCGGGCAAGGTGCTGCCTAGCAGTCGCCTCAAGGCGGGCACCTAAACTTGGCCGAGGGCAGAAAAAGGTCCTCGGCCTAGGGAAAAAAGTTATTTCTCCCCAAAAGAGAAAAGGAGGGGGGGGGGGGGCGAGGGGGGGGGGGGGGTTAGGGTGCAACCTAGCCCCCAAAACCCCTAAAAAAGCATAAGCCCGCTCAATAAACTTACTAAAGTGGCTTATGGGTTTTAGGATTATATCACTGATTTTTTGCTGCTTTAATGGAAACCGATGTTTAATTGGGAGGTTAATTTGAGGAACTGAGTTGTGATTTTCATTGATTATTTATTTCAGAAAGATAAAAGTACTAATCTCAATGATATGTGGCACTAAATGTGCAAGGGACCCTCATAAATTAGGGTTAGTTGCATGTTTTGGTTGGATGGGAGATTAATTATAGGAAAAGTAAGAAATTTGACTAAACCCACAAAATATTATAAGAAATTTGACAGATCAGTGCAATATATGGTTTCATATTCTGCAGCAAGGAATTTGTGTGATAAAGTAAAAAATTATTGTGTGTATGCCTTCATGTATGTATTTGAAGTGGTTGGGATATTGTTGTTTGAAATAAATAGACTATAGCACCAAAAAAGTGTCAATGTTTGAAATAAATAGACTATAGCACCAAAAAAGTATCAATGTTTGAAATAAATAGACTATAGCACCAAAAAAGTGTCAATGTTTGAAATAAATAGACTCTGGCCAAGGTGTAGCCTGCCCTCTCCGTGACGGTGTTTCTGGGCGCCTTCCTAGGTGCCTGCCTTTGTTTCTCTGAAGGTTGGTTGTATCAACGATCTAGATTGTGAGTAACGTAAGAACATTTCAATTGTTCTTACAATGAGAGCCATGCATGTCTATTTTAATGGCGCATTTAACACACGTGGGGTTGGGTATGCCAAATCTTTTATTTTCTTCCATCAGGTGATGAATGTTGAAAATTGAATATTACTTTTCTTTTTTCCGTTGTTGTATGTTGGTGCTAGAGAACGCTTTGATGATTTGTAGCTGATGGTTAGTGTGATTAATGCCTGTCTGCTATGTTGTATGTTGATCATGTGATACTTTCTTACCATCATTTTCAGGATTGATAATTTATTGCTGCCTTTTTTTACTGTTACTGAGGATGATTTGATGTAATTGGAAAGTCAAGGCTGTCAGTTTGTGCTGGCGTGGAGAATATAATGTTGACTTCATAATTTATTCACAATTATTATCTTTTCTAAGACTTACGTGAACGAAAGTTCACTCAAAAATGTAATCTAATTTTGTGCATACACGATCATTGGAAACTCAGCTCCAGAACCGTAATGAAATCTTGTATGCAGGTATGGAGGAGGGCCGGTATTAGCGCGTCGAGTGATCAATTTGGGATTGTCTCAAATGGATTTAACTGTAGAGGTCTACCCTCTACACCTCCAGCTGCTTCTGATGCCAAAAGGAGAACAAAATACTCTTAGAATTAGCAAAATGGTTGGTTGCTCTTATCGCATGTCTTTATGATAAATTTGAGCTTCTTTGGTAATTACTGGGAGAGAAATATCCTGAAATGATACATCATTTATGAATTTCTGACATGTTCTGTGGTTTTGTACTGACATTTCTTTGAAAATGGTATAATTATTGTGTGAAAAAATGTTTAAATATCTAAATCATCTGGTCAGTAAATTTAAAGATTTTGGAAAATTTTGAAAAGAATATCACTGTATATAATTAAATTTTTAATGTCATGGACTTTCTTTTGATTGTACATATGAATTTCTGACATGTTCTGTAGTTTTGTACTGTCACTTCTTGAAAATGGTATAATTATTGTGTGAAAAAATGTTATAAGTATCTAAATCATCTGGTCGGTAAGTTTAAAGATTTAGGAAAATTTTGAAAAGAATAGTGCGATAAATATTTAAAATTTTAGTGTCATGGACCTTGTTTTGATTGTACATAAAAGTACATAATTTTTCTCATGCATATTATAAGAATTGAGGGAAAACTTTCATAACTTCCATCTTTTAAAAACTACATAATGTTTGTCATGTGTACTTAGTTCTTTATTGTGAAATGATAAATGTTTCTATATGTTTATCATGTGTTTTTGTTTTTCTGTTTTTTAAACTCATAGTTGGTACCCTTTTTTAGTTGTAGTTAGAGAACGGATAACATCATTCTCCTCAATGTCATGTGTCCATGCATGTTCTTGTGAAGGATGATCATTGTCCTAAGCTCTAATTCAATTGGCTGTTATTTTGAAACAGCAAGGTTTACAGAAATTTTGGCAAAAAATGAATCTTTGAATTTTTTGTTGTTTTCTTTTTCATGCATCTAGAGTATTTGTTTTGTGAGAGAGTTCTCTATCAGCATTAGATAATGTAAACTCATGGTGTGCGAACTTTGAACTCATATGTATATGACCTTGAAAGCTTTTGCTTCTTATCTACTTGTTCAATGGAACTCCCATGATCATGTCCGCCTTTGTTACAAGAATATTTTAGTCTTTACCAAAAATTGCCTCTTCTGCTAAAAAATACATGCCTGAGTAGTGCATAATTGCTTTACATAGATCTTTAGGAGGCTAAGAATCATCAATCGCATTATTCATAGGAGAAGCCCGAAGAGCCATGAGAGAGAAACACTGGGAATTTGTATGGTGGCCTCAAGGGACTAAAGGAGTGGTGGAGGTTGTGGATGGAGGTGAATCCTGCTCAGTTTTACTTTGACTTCTGTTTTCTGGATAGATCCACCTACGTGAGATAGCTCACAGTCCTCCTTCATAGCTGAAGTCACAGCCTTGAGATGCATGGAAGTTGTATAAGGTCAGCATGTAACGAGAAAGGCTATGCTGTTCTGATAGATGCAGTGGATGGCCAATAGTTGTGCTGGACAATTTCAAGATGAGTCTTATAGCTTTAGAGATGTAGTTCTCTTCGGATCGTAGTGCCTTGCTCCAATACCATTTGTGGGGAAACAGGGTGCTTGGTCTTGTTAAGCCAAACACTAGCCTGAACAAATTGTAAGGAAGGACTGCCTACACTTTCGCACTGCACATCACATGGACCACTATTGAACACAAGCTCCTTCGATGTGTTGCAAATAGGTTTATGATGACAATCTTGCATGGCTTTGTTGCAAATAGGATTGGTAACCTCAAATTTGTAACCTTGAATGGTGGCAACTTAGAGACTGTGACAATCATTGCGATCACTATTGTGCTGTCAAATGGAGGACCAATACTGCAATCCCAGAAAGTGAATAATGGCACTGCAAACTTGTCAGTCTAGTGCAATGCTAGAGAAAGAGAGAGATAAAAGACAGAGATGCGCAAAGGTCTAGGGAGGGAACATTTCCAAGGGAGAGGGAGCTCTTTGCTTTTCATTTTTGCATGATGATGGGGTCGACCACCTTATATAGTGGTGAGGAGAGGTTATCTCCTCATTTGAAAATGTGGGGTAGCTACAACAAAAATACGAAGAACTTATAATCTAGGTAAAATAAAGCAAAATAAAACCCAGATCGAATCTGACTTGTCCTACAATTTCATGCAAGAGATTTTATACTACAAGAACACTATTCAAGTTTCATGCTTGCTTGGTTTTGTTGTTCCATTTCCTCTAGGAGCATTTCAGACACCAAAGTACAACACTATTGACATCCCTTATTTGTTTGGTTAGCTCAATCCATATGCTGTAGTTGTAATTTGCTTTTTGATTTATTGCTTAGTTGTTCTGCTGATTTGTTTGCTCAAGAAGAAATTTGGAGGATGGTAGGTGTGCTTGGACAGGTTGAATCATTTTCTTCGGAGTGGTTTGAATGCCAGGAAAAGATGACGAGTGTGGCCATTTGGGTTTGCCCATGCAATGGAGATTTACAAGGTGGGGGAATTATGTACGGTGCTCAACTCAGTTGTGAAATTTATTGAAGCAATTTAGTAAATTAGCTGTTACAAAGGTTCCAACATCTCCATAGTAACGGATATTTGGATTCGAATAATGGTCAGGGTGTTAGACCTTTAGGATAGAAGCATATGCTTGTCTGACAATTTGTGTAGGAAACTCCAGAGTGGTCACTTTCTTGAGGAGCTTGCGGATGGTGATGATCCAAAGCAGTGTTGTTTTAGGTATTGACATGGTTGCCTTTGTCTGTGATTGAAAGGTGTCAGTCAAAAATGTGGTGGGCCGGGCATTCGAATGGTCTGGACATTACCTTTGATCTGCATGGAGTTGTGGGCGACATTTAAGAGACTGAGACTCATCTGCAAGAGAGGTCTTGGAGAAAGAGATTCATTGGAGAGTAGAACCTTGAGAGAGCCCATGTAGATTGCTACAAATTGCATGCCTCCATAGAACTCATGCATGTGATCCGATCAGATCTAAATGCGGGAATCTGGATGAGACCATGAAGTTAGCAGTAGTCTAGGCACCCTGCTATCAAGCTTGGAAAGCTTGAGGGGGGACCTGAGTTAATGGTCCCAGGTGTAAAACAGAATCCAAAGACGGTTTCACTTACGAATTTGGACTTTGGAACGCAAATTGGGGGAAACATATTTGGTCCTACGTGTGAACAAAAACCAAGGAGAGCTTCGAACTTGAGTTGGGAATAGAACTTGAACTGGGGCTGATGTATTTGGTCTCAGATGTGAAATAGAACTTGAGGGCTTTGGTCTTCAGTTTGGGACAATGTTTTAATTGGGGCTGAGGTGTTTGTTCCAGGTGTGAAAGAGAATCAAAAGAAAGCCATGGAGTTTGCATGAGTGGCATTGAGGTAGCAAGATTTGCTTGTGGAGCCTTGCTATCGACAGGCTTGTGCATGATGGAGCCCATTGATTCAAAAAGTGGTCCACCACATGCCTAAGCGGCTAGGGGGGCTAGGTGCATCGCTCAGGCCTTGGCGGCCAACTAGGCGAGTTGTCCTTGGGCGCCCTGCCTAGGGATCCTAGGCGCCTGTCTAGTACCCTGCCTCGGCGGGCTGCTTAGGGGATTGCACCCTCCTAGGTGCAAAAGTACTCATCTGATGGGATATTTTTGTCTTTGTTTGGATTATAAAAAAATTCATGATTATACATCTTTTATACAAAATTTGGACCTAAAACAGTATTACTGGACACCCCTTGCCCCCTTTTGAACCTACCTAGGTGACCCCGCCTAAGCACTTGGCGTCCTAGACCCCCCCCCCACCCCCCCTGGGTATCACTAGGTGTTTTTTGGAACACTAATGGGGTCAAAGAGTTTCAGGGATCCTAGATGAGGTCATGGTACTTGCTAGTAAGGAACTGATACCAGACCTGCATATAATTGGGCAAGAATTCCTGAGATGAGCTGACAACATGCATAATTGTAAGGGAATTCAGGCATCGAGTTGCGAGGTGGACAGCAAGGAAAAGTGAGGAGTCTTGCTTGAGGTAGTTGGATTGTGTGATCAGCTACTAGCTTTGTAGTTAGCTTGGAATGAGGTGTTGTTTCTCGGGACAGCAAGAGATGATTGACAGAAATTGAGCGCAGGTGGAGCTTGCAATCGGGTGTGGTTTCTCGGGACAGCAAGAGATTGACAGAAATTGAACGCAGGTGGAGCAATGGCAGCTGCTGGCGTGTTTGCCTTGAAGCAGACCCAGAGTTGTCAATCAGTCAGTACTCCAATCATGGGGGTGCCATTTGGACAGCAGTTTTGAGGGAAACTTGGTGCAACGGGTAGAGAACTCATGCTTAGGGAGATTGTTAATCTCCGCACAGTGCCTGAGGCACTGGGCTGGCAACTGGGAGCGAAATTCGCTTTAGATCTAGGTTTGTTTTACTTTATTTTAGCAGTATTGTTGTTGTTCTTGTTGTTATTGTTATGGAAGTAATTTCTGTCCAAATCTTTAGGTGAGAAGCATGATCCATCCTCACCAATATATAAGGGGATTGATGATTCCCTCATGTAACACACCTAAAACTGCAGAGTTCGGTCTACCTTGGAAATAAAATATTTTTTGATGAAAGCCTTGGAAATAAAATATTATTTCCAAAAGCCTTGGAAATAAAATATTACTTCCTCTTTTTTTGACAGAAAATTAGGTTTCTCTCTTCCTTCCTCGCTCTATAGAGAGACTCCTCTCTCTCTCTCTCTCTCTAAAAGGAAAGAGGGGTCCTAAGCATTCTGAAAACTCTCTTCTTTCTCTTTTGTCTTATGCACTTGTGTGAGACATCTATGTTTGCTATACTGTTATTCTCTTTTCACATTTACATTATTAGCCCCGTATTCAATTATATGATAGTGATTGCGACAACTTTCGCAACTTTATGTTGTGAGCCTTCGGGGCTCCTAGTTTGAGGTTGTGATGTGTATCTGTGCAGCTTGTGTTCAACAGTGGTCTAGAGCACTTTTGAACTTGATGTGCCCTAATAGAGTGGGGCCAGTTTCCCATTGACGAATCTCACTTTGTGGTATGCAGTAGGGGATTCAACGGTGATATCTGTCCATGAATCCGCTGGCCATGGGAAACTCAGTACTTGTTTTTGGTGCTGGCATTTAGATCTCAATATAGGTTTTGGGGCTATCAAATCCCAATATTTGGATATTTGAGCATTGCTTGTGTTCCAATGAGTGGTATCTATGTGAATATCAAGTGGCATCAGAGCAGTGCTTGGAATTTGGGACTGATATCTAAGTTGTATCATGAGCAGTGTTCTGGAAGAATACAAGAGGATCAAAGCAGTGCTTGGGAATGTTGTGAATGGTATCATGAGGATGGCTCAGGAATGATAATACGAGTGCTGCTAGAAGATGGCTTGAGAATGATATATTTGGCATCATGAGCAAGGCTTGGGAATGGCTCACTCTTCTGTAATAAAGTAGGTCTCTGGTTTAGCATGTTAACTTGTATCGAAATGTTAGACTTTGATGCCTGTGATTCCTAAGCTTGCCTCGTCAGTAGGTTTAAGCCATCATTGGAATGCGGGAAAGACATTATTTTTAGAGATAAACATCATTGTAAAGAAGAGATGGATTGCATGGTTTTAGAGAAAGGGAACCACAGTGGGTTCCACCTCACCAATATCTGAGTCATCTCCATCTGACCTTTTGTATGCATTAGTGTCATGCATTTTAGAAAACTCAGAATATGATCTGTTTGTGTTGGCCATATCGTCATTCTTTTGGGTTATATATAAATAGTTGCTTGGTGTATTTTATGACAGAGTAGTAGAAAATTTTGATATTCTGACCCTCTTTGCAGGAAACAACAGAAATAGTAGGAGAAATTTGTATGTATTTCATCAAATCAATTTGCTACCGATTACTAGGAATAACATTTGATGCACTAATGATGATTAGAACCTGTTTTTATCAGATCATTTGCTCTCAGATTGTAAGTTTACCACATAACTAGCAATTCTTGAATCCTAATAGTTTGCTTTTTCAGGAAACGGTGGGAGAACTATATAGAAGGGCTTGTGACATTTTTGAACTGAACGTGGAGCAGGTGAGGTAAGCACATGTGTTCATGCTTAAATTGTTGGTGTTCATTAAATTGCTCTTTGTTTTTCTGCATGTTTCAGGTGCGCATATGGGACTATTATGGACAGAGAAGAAATGCTTTGATGACTGACATGGATGCAACACTTCATGATGCGAATATACAGATGGACCAGGATGTGGGTTTACACTTGTGTTTGTCAACCATCTCAGTCTTTTGTTTTAGTTATTTCTTTTATGTTGTTTTATGATGTGTGATGGATTATTTAAAGGAAAAATTTTATATAAGGGTGAGGCCCTAAACAATCAAATTAAGGCGCACGTAAAAAATTCTCTAGAAGAGGTTGTTTCAACGCCCAAAAATCCTCAAATTGGTCATCTTGACCTCAAGATGTATGCACATGAGAAAAATAGATTTCATGTCATGGAAATAGTGCATATTGTAAATGTCAATTTTCAAGTGTTTATATATCTGCACGATCTGTACTATTTTTGAAGCTTTAAATTTTATAATTAGATATAAAAACAATTTTCTGACCATCACAAAGTCCACTAGTACTGAAACAACATCTTTTGACACTATTTGAAGGTGTGCCTTACTTGGATTGTTTATGGCCTCAGCCTTATACAAATCACACCCTTATTTAAAACTCAAATAGTCCAGCTGCTTTTTTTGGTTATCAATTCAAAGGATGCATGTAAACTCTAGTCTTGAAGATTGTATGTTTTTAAGAGATCGAAAATTGGACTTACAACTTTCACAAGTGTTTAAGCAGTTAAGGTGTTTATAATCCATAAAAACTGATATTGCATTTTTTGATATGTGAAAGCAACTGTTCGTGCTTCACAGGGTTCCATCTTGGTTTTCCCTCACTTTCTTTCTTTGTTTTTTTTTGGCTTTTGTGTGTGTGGGGGGGTGGGATGTACTTGAGCACATAAAGTTGTGCATTTGTGAGTTTTGTTTTAGGTTATGCTTTAAGAGGTCAAATAAACTGTATGGTATGGCTTATATCCAAACCAGTGTAGGAAAAATCGAACCGGAGCACTTAATTGGACATGGGGCCTGAAGCGGTTCAACTGCCTAACAGGGTAAGTCCGGGGCGGTCAAAAAAGTGTAAAAAAAAAATGTACGAAAAAAGTCTAATAAAATAGAATATTTAAAACATGATTAAACAAAGCACATCCACATGAAGTTGAAAATTAATGAAAAAAATAGATTTTAAAGAATCGATTTGTGCTCAGGGGTATATTTGAAACTTTTCAAAAAATATGTGAAAATGTAAAAATAAGTATTAATGGCCAATTTGTTTTTCAATCTTTGCCAAAATGATGAAAAACATTAAAAAATGCATTACAAACAAAATCACTTCTTTTGGGATTATATATTTTTTTGGGAAAATGACCTTTACCCCCTTCTTTGAAAATTGCATCCTTATTAGCGCCTTGGGTTCACCAAAATCCCTTGTACCCCATCAAATTTAAAATTTTAGAGCCGTTAGCCCCCTAATTGTGTTTTTCTTTGTTCTTTTACAAAGTTGATTTTTTTATTTTATAAAATTGTCCTTTCCCATTCTCTTCCATTGCCTAAAACCAATCTTACCTTTGTGGATCCCACTGTATAAATGTAGACATGAAAAGAAAATGAATTTTTCTTTAATATTATGATCTATTTTACAATTACATCAATTGCTTTTGAATTTGAAAAATGATTAATCAAGATATTGTTACTATTGTTAATGGATTATTATTATTTATTTATTCATTTATTAAAAATTCATCAAAAGAGATGAAATATTTAACAATTAATTATTGATGTTATTATTATAATTATTAATTAATCATAATAATTATTATTATTATCAGCAATAAAATTTGTACACCAAGTCACAAAAAAAAAAATGGATGACTAATGTATGGGTTTGGCATTTTGTAAAACAAAGAAATCAAATTTGTAAAAAGAACAAAGAAAAACATAATTACGGGATAATGGTCCCAAAGTTTTAAACTTGAGGGGGCCCAAGGGATTTTAGTTAACCCAAGGGGCTAATAGGACTAGAAATTTCAGGGAGGGGGTTAGAGGTCATTTTCCCTTTTTTTTTTTCAATTTTTTAAAAATACCTGGCCGATTCACCAAAACCCACTGAAACCGGAGCTGGCTAGTGGCCGGTTCCGATCTAACTGGGCGGTTAGAATTTGAACTGCCCGATTTTTCCTACACTGATTCAAATTTTGGTTTATGAGGGCAATCCACATACTGGAGTTAATTTTGGTTGTCTTTCTAAGTGGGATAAGTTTCAGATTTGCAAGACATTTCTGTTTGAAACCAATAGGATTGTTAATGTTTCATATTTATTTAAATCAGCAACAGTTTTTATTAATAAGAAACGATCCAATGCATTTTGTATCACTCAGGCTGCAATTGGTTAGAGATATAGGAGACATCTCACCACAGATTTGAAATCCTTCATGGCAACTTAGGTAACTAACCCAGAGCACGATTGGCTTCACTCCAAATGTGGGATAACGAAAAGCAGAATTGAGGAAGACAGCAAATATAATCGTAGCTGACCCTGGAACTTGTTCTGTCCAATGTGCCCAACTGATGACATTCATCGGTCTCCTTTGATAATAATTGGGAGCACTGAGCTGTGAGCTCCCAATTGATGGCCAGTCACTTGTGTCTTGACTTCTGCCATTGTGGAAATTACAGCTATGAATAGGATGGGGAAATGACATCGAAACCTTGCTCACTTCATCTCTAGACTACTCCTGACACTAGCAGCCTTGCAATTACCATTAGAACTTCTGTCAAAATTCAGCTGCAGGCAACCTATAGGTGATGGGCATGGTCTGAGGCACAAGCACCTACTAGAATCAATAGCCCTTGAATTCTTAATGAAATTTACAAGTCCCAATGACACCTGTATTAGAGTATCAAACGTTGAGGCTTTGTAGTTCTAGCGAATTCTGAATGAATAAATTGTTCACCTTTTGCTCATCTCTATGTTGAAACATCCTTTTCTGCTAGAGTAAACTGGTTAGGTTTGCGGAGAAAAAGTCATGCAGTGGTTCTGAACTTCTCCATTCCTTTTTTGGGCTGCTGGACGCTACAACCCTTTTTCTTTTCATGATTTCTGAATACACCACACAACTCTATATAGGAACTTTGGCTCTTCTCTGTTGGCCCAATTGCCATCTTGATGAACAATCACAGTGAGGCAGTGATCGATCTGAACCATCTGTTTCATTCTTATGTATCACAGACTGTGTACTGGTGTTGTATTGCTTCTCAAGTCTATTTTTAAGGACTCTCCGTTTTCTTGTTTGAGATTTTTAAAGCATACAGTGACCATAAGAAGTAAGCCATTAAGTATTTTCTTGGTGCCCAGATTTTGCTAGAGGTGCAAGGTGATTGTGTTGCATTTGGTGGTAGCATGAGTTTTGAACTGGACAATGGTGCTATGGGGAAAGAATTGATATCTCTTGTCGAACCATGTAAGTCTAGTTTATCAGTTGCTGGGGGTTTATGCACAAACAAAGGTGCTTCCCGAAGTTGCAGTTCAGAGTTGTCACAAAGCCAGATACTACCTTCCCCAGTTAGAGATGTTGAAGGGTCCTGCGGCATAAATAACAGTAGTCTTAGAGGAGGTTCTGGTGGTTTAACTGGGCTGCTTAATCTTGGGAACACTTGTTTTATGAATAGTGCAATCCAATGCCTTGTACACACACCAGAGTTTGCTCAGTACTTTCGAGAAGATTACCACCGAGAAATCAACTGGCAGAACCCTCTGGGGATGGTTGTAAGTTTCTCAACTCTAACTCTACCAATGAAGTTGATCAGTTTTTTATCCCTTTCATTTCGGGTTTTTATTAATTGTATTTTTTGGTCTGATAAATTAGTACCTGACTGCTTGATAAATTTTGGATTATTAACGGATTGATAAATTGATTACAGATTAAATAAACAATTCCAGCATGTGGCACATGTTTGTGTTTCTACATTAGAGCTTCCTTCTGACTTGTGCATAGAATTAAGACCATCTGATTAGCTTATTCTACTGGATGCAGGATTTTTTTAATTTTTTAATTTTTTTTAATTTTAACATTCAGAAAGAACTGTAATTTCATTGAAGGTGATTTTGTTTATTACTATTTAGATTTTGCCCCACAGTTTACATCTCAGTTGGTTTCCCTTACATTTAAAAAGAAACATGTTGGTGTTTTTCTTTTTCTAGAGATTTTGTTCTGCTTTCATACATTATTTATCTTTCTTTTTTGAGTCTAAGATTGTACTTCTGAATCATCATTGTCTGAATTGCATTTCATTTGAATTGAGGCTGTGCAGTGTTTTAATATTTAAAATTTTATTTATATGCATAATTGCATTTCATTCGAATTGCATAATGATCTTTTGATTGATTGGACAGAGCCTAAATATTTTCGAGTAATTTTTTTTACAAATAAAATTGCAATTTAACATATATATAGGATTCATGATAAGATTTGGCAATTGAACATATTTTCCTTACTTTTGTTCTTAATAAGGGCAAGAATGGAGGAACAATATTCATGTAGCCGATCCCAAATAATTGGGATAAGGCTTGGATGTTGATGATGATGACCATTGTTAGAAAAATCGGGCGATTTAACTGCTAATGGCCCCGTTAGATTGGTACTGGCTAGTAGCCGGTTCCTGTTTTGGGCGGGTTTGGTGATCGATCGGTATTTAAAAATAAAAAAAATAAAAAAAATGTATATAAATTCCTAAAAACAAGGAATTTGGTTTGTAAAGATTAAAAGTTGTTTTTGTCATTAATACTCACTTTAATTAAAAAATCGTTTCATTAAAATATATTTTTTCATTAATTTTCAACTTCATTTGAATGTGTTTTGTTTTACTCATTTCTTATATGCTTTTCATATTTTTAGTAGATCTTTTTTTGTATCTTTTTTATTTTTTTAATATTTTTATGACCGCTCGGGACTTGCCCGGTTAGAACGGTTGAATCGGCCGGTTTATCGGTTAGGCCGGTTAAACCGCTTCCGGACCGATGTTTGGTTAACTATTCCGGTTCAATTTTGGAAAAGTTTTTATTGATTTTTTTTTTAAAATTGCAATTTATTTGGATATGCTTTATCTAAGTGTCAAACCTAGGTTCGGCGCTTAGTAGATTTATTGGATTGTTGCAATGTTGACGATGGGATTGGCAATGAAGAAGATGATTACAATGAAGCAAGTGCAAAGGAGCAGATGAAGATGATGATTATGCTTGAGCTGCAACTTTTAGAGTTGAAAGCTTAAATTTTAATGTTCTAATGTTGGGAGTTTGATCATAAAACTTTTTATTGAATATTTATAAAAAACCAACCTAGTTTCTAAAAATTGAGCTGAGTTTTTTGATCAGATTGGTTTCAATTGTCAGCCTTGCTAGTCTACTCTGAAAACAAAAAATAAAAAAATAGTAGACGCTTAGAACGGGCTTTTGGCTGGTCAGATCATCTGCTTCAACCAATCCATGGTTCAGTCCTTTGTTAATCGCTTGTAGCTCACATCTGGTGGGACAAATTTTCATTTTATTGATATTTTGGCTGTAGTGATAGGGTTTCTAAAATCATATATAACATCCTTTTCATAATGTGTTCTGCTGCTCTATCCACAAGAAGGAACAACATCCCTGCTTGGGGTTCATATGCAAGAAAGTTTTTTGGATGAGAGAAGTATTTCAAAGTAGCAGAATCCATTGGATGCAAAGCACCTTGCAGCCAAGAACTGGAATGTTATGATCGGGAAAAGACACACTGATATACAGTTTCATATGAATGTTATCAGTAAAGTGTAGCTATTCAAAAACAAAAGACGGCAAGCATGACTTGTGAAATTGGATACCTATGCCCTTCCTTTATTATGGAAAAAAATCCAGAAATGCTCGGGAGTGATGTTGGACAGCCAAAGGATTCCTTCTAATGATGATAATCCATATGGTCGGGAGGGGGATTTTGACTGGCTAATGTTCCAAATTTAACTATAAAGAGAAGAGTTTTGTGACTTGTATATTAATGCTTGGGGCTCCAACCAACATAAGAAGCATTATATCTTGCAAGTCGCCATGCAGGATGCTGATATGTCCATACGGGGTTGTATGTGGTGCTACTGTTCCATTTATTTCGGTAAATTCTTTCTATGTTGAATCCATGCTTGAGCCGGTATTGGCCATTGAAATTTGAGTATTATGGCTCAAATTTCATCCCTCCTGGGCAATGAATACTAAGAAGGTTCAAGATGTCCCATTGAGATAAAGCTTGGACAAGGTTGGGTGATACATGGTGTTTTGCAATGTCAGAGGGGCGGAAGGAGCAAAAGTTTGGGCACAGTTTAGATTTGTGGATCATTATCTCTGGATGATCTGGATGTAGTTCAAGGAATTTTAAATTCATTAAAAGGATAAAATGGTTGGTAAGAATGATGATATATGATATTTCTATAGAACTTGTTATAGATGCAACACCTCAAAATGTGGTTCAAATTGTCATATAGATAATGCAACTGACTAAGTGGTCTCAGGAAAGTTCCGTTTTGTTTTTTGGTCAGTAATTGCAGTGAAATAGCTACAGTCCAATTTGTATTAAACATTCAATGCTGCATATTATGTAGCTCTAAATTGAAAGGTGTTCTCTAATAGTGGAAGGAATCTCTTAGATGGGTGATATTGGGTGACTAATTGGTGGAGCCAAGCAACCCCGAACTTTATTTATAATCATCCTTGTGTTCATCTTATTGAAGAAGTATATGTACTAAGTTACAAACTGCTCAGTGTTGCAGGCCTTTTAGGATCATAAGCTGGTTTAAATAATAGGTTGCTCAGGTAGGTAATGCTTGATTCAGTGCAATCTGAGAAGCACAATGTAATTGCAATGGTAGCTTCTGGGTTTTTTGACTCCCTTGTACCTCATTATTAGAGTCACCAAGCTTCTTGTTTGTGTCTTTGGGATGATTGAAATGGGGTCAAAGGCTCACGGTAGATTAAAGTTATGAGGACAATGGTTTGTGTAAGGACATTTAGATTACCTTAACAGAGAAAGGCAAATTACGTGGCTTACTGGAAATTCATGTACTTTTTCCCACCTTGAAGTAATCCAATTGCACCGACTTTTCATGCCTGCAGCTTTCATTGGCAAGTTCATTCAACCCTGCCGCATTGTTCGCACATCATTAAATCTTCAATAATATCCTTGATTTATGGTGTGCTCGAAGACAAGTGAGTCCATAAGAGTAAGTAAAAGCTTGTACATCATAGGAAGTAAGGACATACAGGGGTTAAAGCCCTCAAATCAAGTGGAAGCCACTCAATGTGGCAACTTTGAGGTTATGAGCGTTAACCCAGCAAACCGACCCAAAAGAACAAAAAGCAGGAAAAGAATATGTTAAACATCATGTAGTTGTAAAATCATCATATGCTTTGTTCCTATCTAAGAAATGATTATTTTTTATTACTGTGATATCTTCCAAGTTGATAAATTGTTTGATTGATGATCTGTAATGACAGTTTGGGTGAGTTTTGTTTTGTATGCTTTCGAGAGTTTGTTTTATTGGTTTCAAATCTTTTCGATATCCTGTTTGATGCTTAGTGCAAGTGCTTTCAACTTCCAACACATAACAATTGGCTTTCCCACATTGTTGCGTAAATCATCGCAAGAGCAATTCAATCATCTTTTAGCTTATGTGGTCAAGGAAAGACATGGACTACAGAATATTGTTACTTGGCTCCTGGCCCAGTTAACAATATTGCCTAATCCATGGATCTTTTTCGTTTGCCTAGTTAGCAGTGCTTGCAAAATTGAGATCTCTCTCTCTCTCTCTCCTGCCCCCCCTAGAAGAATTGTATTAGTGAGAGATCAAAGTTTTCAATAGAATATGCAGGAGGAAATCAATTAAATGTGAATTCCTGTATCCATTGTGGTATGAGCACTAGTTTATGTATTCTGTTGATGTTATGTAGGGTGAACTTGCTTTAGCTTTTGGAGACCTGCTAAGAAAATTATGGGCTCCTGGGCGTGCTCCTGTTGCTCCTCGTCCATTTAAAGCGAAATTAGCTCGTTTTGCACCTCAATTTAGTGGATATAATCAGCACGATTCGCAGGTTTTCTCCTGAGTTTGACATTGTTTTGGATATTGTCTGAGATGGTTTACATGTATATTTATGTATTTCTGTACATATTATCCCTGTCTCAAAGATAATCAGAATGATAATGGTAACTAGGCCGATGTCTTCAGGAGCTTTTAGCATTTCTGTTAGACGGGCTTCATGAAGATCTGAATCGTGTAAAATACAAGCCATATATTAAGTCAAAAGATGCAGATGGGCGGCCTGATGAAGAAGTTGCAGATGAGTATTGGGCGAACCACATCGCTCGGAATGATTCTATAATTGTTGATGTATGCCAAGTGAGTATTTCATTCTAGGATACAAATTCACTGTTGCAATTAGCATTTAGCATTTATATGCAGGATGTTGAATTGTCATGGACACATGGTTTTCTATTTGCTCTTGATGCATTTAGTATCTATATTGATGTTATCAACAATATTCTTCTTCCTTCTTTTTTTTTCATATGTAGTTGTATCACAATGTTCTTCCAGTTATTCCCCAGTTAGGGACATCTCTGGAACTTGTTTCTAGTGCTTTTAGAAATAGAGTTCATCTTTCATTTATATAAATCTATTCGAGTGCATTCATGTATACATGTATAGGTGAATTTGTGCATACATTGCCTGATGTGCTCAGAATATGAAATCCATGGATAGATTTCATTGCTTCCAAAATATAAGAAAAAAGTGTAATGGAATAAATGTTTTCATTTTTCATTATTTATTTTTGTGATCTTTAACTAGATTTTCCTTTTTGAGAATAAATGACTTCAGCTGTGTATGACGTAATGAGAGAGCCCTAAAGAGGGGCCCAAACAAAAAATCCAGAAAGGCTTTTACAGAAAAGAAAAAACAGAAAACGGCATCCTCGTTAGGCTGTAGATCTATTAACTAGAAATCTATCACTGCTAGCACTATCCTTTGCTGAGGCGTCAGCAGGCAAATTCGCTTTCTCCCAGGTATGTTTGTGAGAGACTTTCATGTTGCAAAATGAAACCAAAATTTGTTCGAACAGCCGTTTCGTGTACCAAGGATGGTTGGCCTCCTTGTGGTGACTATCAAATCATATCCTTCATGCCTTCCACGACAAGAGAATGACCCCAGCTTGTATTGAAAAGTTTTAGCCCTTCCAACAGGATGGTAGCCGTCACCTTTGTGGAATCTGTAACCCCAGTGAATCATGAAAAGAGAGAAAACAGTCCCACATACTGTCACTGAAGATACCACTCACTCCTTATAAGCCTAGGGAGCAACCATCAAAGTTGAGTTTGATAGCCCAGGGTGGGGGAGCCAACTATAGTTACCCGAATTTTCTATGAAGGTAAATTCCGTTTCGGAATCTCGATTCGGCGTTTCCCCAGGCGAAAGTCGATTCTAAAATAAAGGAATCGCGTTTCCATTTTTTGCGGAACACGATTCCACCTAGTTTAGGAATCTTGATTCCTGGATTGATGGAATTAAGATTTCATATCGAGTACTTTTTAATTCTTAGCTACACAAGGATTCGATTCTGCTTGAGAGAAACGTTGATTCCAAATTTTCTAATGTAATAATGTTTAATATATGATCGGCACCGTCATTTCTTTAAATTAAATAAGAGGATAAAAATGCTTTTCTTTAAGTAGAATAAGAAGATAATAAGGATATGAGCGAAGTGCCTTGTGTGGTGTTTTAGGTTAAATTAATCATTAGATATCAGAGAAATTGACTAAAAATTGAATAACTCAATTTTCAAAAGTCAAAAGACTCAAAACTACATTTAACAAAGAAGAATTACTATGTCATGTACTTATTTTATAATTCAACGAAAGGAGATAAAGCGAGCTTGCCTTTGTTCTCACTCCTTGCATGCCGTAGACTAGCTCCAGACCTTTTAGGCATAATAGGGTTGTCGGCAGACCGAGTCCATTTTATGGGATTGTCTACAAAGATATCATATAGGTTGACATTAGTACTTGGAGTCTTGGACTGAGTATATACAGACCAAAATTTGATCTTGTAGTAATGGGTAAGTTTATATATTTTTTGAGTACTTCTCTTGGAGGGAATTGGTTTGCAATTCTAGTAAAGGGAGAATCTCAATTCCAATATGGGGAGAATCACGATTCCGGAATGGTGAGATTGTTGATTCCAAATTGATGAGGACAACGATTCTAGAGTTTTTGGAATCACGATTCCAGCCACCACCGAAACAAGTGCGGTTATGTGTGATTCCATATAGATATGAAACGCGATTCCAACATCAAGGGACATCGATTCTTGCAAATAAGAAACACGATTCCTAATTTTTTGAATCACGATTCCAAAATAGTGAGAATCGTTTTTCTCAAATCCGAATCGTACGAACATCGATTCCTAAATTCCAAAACTTTTGATACACTCAATTCCGCGATTCCGATTCCAAAAACGATTCAGAATCACAGATGTTTCCAACAACTATAGAGCCAACCATGGATTTGAACTAGGAACCCTCATTAGCCTAGTGCTTGGAATGGAGCCCCGGCTTAGAGAAAGTCCAAGTAGGACAATCTCACAAAATCTTTATGATTGCATGTACAAGAAACTACCATGGACCTGATCTTATCCTTTGGAACAGCTGCTCCCTTTAATTTCAAAGATTCTGGAGCTTCATAAAATCCGTTAAGATCAAATTGTGGCCAACATATTAACCCTCAAGGAACAGCCCCGCTGCTGGAAATAGTGCTGAAAGTAAGTCGGGTATAGTTGTCGGGCATTTTTAGGCCAGAACCAATTCCCACTCAAAGATACCAAAAATGAAAGGAATACCTGGACCTCCATTGAACAGTCTAGGAAGTCCATTGATTCTTCTGCATCCTTGCACATTTGGAGGTGGTCCATAGTAAGTGCCTTCTTGGAAATGGCCAGCCCATTAAAAGTTTTGATCTTCGAGGGGACAGGTGTGACCCAAACTAGTTAGCAATGATAGGCCTGCTTTCGGTGGATGTGGAGATGGTGTACATCAAAGAGACCAAGAAGCTACCTGAAGAGTTTGGTGTCCAAATTAGCTTGTCCAAACACACTTGGTCGATGAAATGGGTACCTAGGAGATCCAAGAGAACAAAATCAGGGACCTTCAGATCACGAAGATCCAAGACTAAGGAGCCCATACCAGTTGTCCTCCGAGTTCTTTGAAAGATCAAACCATTTTAGACTACAACAATGGCAAAGAAGTCCATAAACAAGCTTTCTAGGGTAAATTAGCATGCCTGATGAAGCCACCATAAACTGTGACTATGTTCTTGGGAGCTACCCAGTCTCGTCTAAGCCATACTTACCTTGAACAACCGGCTTCCATAGGTGGTCATTTTTATTTGCAGATCTCCACCATCATTTGCATTGCAGGGCAGATACATTCCTTGTTTACTTGATTTAGAGACCATAGTCCAAACAATAAGTGGAATTTTTTATTTCAATCAAAGCCCGACTGAAGGAACTTTCTCATCACGTGCCCTTATTGACAAACATTGTCATTCTGTAGTGGCATGTCGAAAACTGGGATACCGGACAAGGTAGCTTCAAAGTGGGTTATCCTCCGCCCTAGTGACAAGCACCTGTCCTTCCATGATGTGAGCCTTGTTTTGAATTTTTTTATCATCCCATCCTATTGTGCCTTTCTAGGTTTGCCAAGACACAACTGGAGGCCAAGGTACTTACTTGGCAGGGCGTCAATCCCACAGTCCAGGTTTCTAGGCTGCACTTGTTCATTGTTGGGGTCCATACAGAGCCCATCATCTTTGTCTTTTCTAGATTAATATTGAGCCAGGTTTCAAGTTTGAAACACCTAGGAACAACCAAATGTCTTCCAATTACTGAGGATTTGCGCCACTAAACAGAAGTGTATCATTAACGTATTGTAAATGGGGTACTGAGAGGAACCCTGCTGGAAGATAATAAACCTTGGGAAAGTTTTGGATATTGAGATTGGAGATAGATATGCTGAAAGTCTTCAATACAATCGCAAAACGAAAAGGGGATGGGGGGGGGGATTTTGATGAAGGCTACTGGATGACAGGAAGTACCCTTGAGGGAAGCTGTCAATGAGAAGGGGGGGAGTGCATGCATGCTGAAATCTAACTTCACCACTTGCTGCCAAAACCATAAGCCCAATCACCTGATCCAATATATCCTAATCAACATGTTTGGTTGTAAGCCGTCTTCAATCTAGTCTGTAGAACAGGCTCAAGGATTTGGACAAGTATGAGTAGCTTCGTGAGCTATCAAGACACCATCCAATAACTATCCTTGACTAAGTTGGCATGGGGCATTGTTCGACCACATGAAGGAAGTCCATTTAATGAAGGTCAACCAGATTATTCCTGAGGACAAAGTTTGAGAAAGTTGATAGACTGGCCGTGATCCTATTGCTCCTCATTTTCTAAAACCCCCAATGAGTCCTATTGAAATCCTCACCTAGGCAACAAAGGGTGTCATACCTAGCAACCACTTCATTTAACTTAGCCCTAAAAGGCTGCTCATAGGTTGAGGCTGTAGGTCCAAAAACAAGCGTGAACGTCTGCAAAAATCATCAGTGCCTTCTAAACATAAAAGCGAGACCGAAAATCAGCCAATATGCATCGATGACTCCAAACGATGCTAAGGGTCTCATAGGATACAAATCCGATCAGAGGCCCTCCTCTTTGAAGGAAGGGCTTTCCATTCACACGGCCTTCTGCCCTAGAGATGTTGGTCCAAGGTTAGGTCAAGAACAACCAGCTTAGTTTCCACAATGGCAAGTATTTTGATGGCCTTTTTGTACTGAGGTTGGCCTAAACCCTGAATGTATGTCTCGAATACATCTGCATCTAAATTGCTCTTAGGAGGAGGAAGGAGTATGGGTAGGAGGTGCTAAAGTGGGTACCCCAAACCTCTCTTAAGGTAGAACTGCAGTGGCTTTTGAGCTCTCTCACTTCTCTGACACTTGCTTTGCTTCTCTAACGTTGTTGTTGTCAGAGGTCAGGCCATTATAAGTGGAGCCCATTTTGCTGAAATTTGATATATGTTACAATGTTATCAAATTCGCTTTGCTTCGATTTTAAGCACAAACCGAAGCGAAGAGAGGCGTGTTGCTACCGCTTCGGTCAGATTCGGGCCGCTTCGGCCAGATTCAGGTTTGCTTCGGCAGAAGCTTCGGGCTGCTTTAGTCAGAAAAGAAATACCTATATAAAATTATTTTTTTAATTTTTTTTGTAAATTTTGAAATTTTCTATTATTTTTATATATTTTATATATAAATATTTAATTTATTTATATTAAATTAAAAAAAAGGTCTGAAGTCT